TCTGGTATTTCTTTTTTTATCTTATGGTTATTTGAGTGTGTGTTCTAGAAAATCTTTGCCCAACTCCAAGCCATGTCACATTCTCTCCTCATGTCTACATCAGCATTTACACTTAGGCCTGTGATCCACCTTGGCTTGTTTGATGGGGTGTGTTACATATGTTTCTGTGTGGAGGGCCACAGTTGGGGGCAGGGCATCTATCCACACATCTGCCCACCCACTCCCCAGAGATTCTTGCCTGGCCCCTGAAATACATGAGACCCAAAGAAGACCAGCATCTGAAAGGTTTAAAGGAAGCAAGGAGGTGAGTTGTGGGGAGAGGGAAAGAAAAGTCCTCTTAATGACAGTGCAGGAAAAACCAAATATCCATAAGGAAAAAAATAATAACTGAGACTTACAGATACCCGAAGCCTCCTTGATAGGATGCTGTGTGGACATGACATCGCCATTGGGGAATTCTTACCCATAATATATGTTATAAACTCACAACTGAAATCTAATCATGATGAAATATAATCAAACCCAAATTGAGGGACATTCTACAAGATAATGGGCTTGCATTTTAAAAGAGTCACAGTCACAAAACACAGACAAAGGCTGAGAAACTGCTTCAGATTAAAGAAGACACATGACAATGAAACATAACGTGTGATCCGGATTGGATGGTGTGAAAGGAAAAAGGCATTCCAGCACATTATTAGGGCAATCATGGAAACTTCATGGTCTGTGAGATAAAGGATGGCATGATTTTGATCACTGTACCTTGGGTATGTAAGAAATATCCTTAATAAACACATACTGAAGTATTTAGAGATAAAAATAATACTGATTATACGTAATGAGATTAGCTTTTGTTTAAAAGTTTTAATAAACAAGTCTGGCAAATGTACTAATGGCCACATCATTAAAATGTTCTCAACAAAGGTTCCATCTGGTATAAATTTACTAGCACAATTTAAGAAAGGAGAATTCAATTAAGGAAGGAGAATAGGGTGTGTGAAATAAACTCCTAACAAACACATCGCTAACATATTTTGGTGTGTATTTCTATAGCACTTCAATGTCTATTGTTTTCTGACTATTTAGAGTAACCCAGAATATTCCAGAAAAAGGAGGTAATGCTAAGGACTAAGTTTCTCTTGGAGGAAAAAAAAATGATAGCTGTCACTAAACTGCCTTCACCTCAGAAAGACTGTAAAATTGAGGACTGATAGTGCAGAGACATATCCATTTCACCACACACTCATAACTAGGAGCATGGTAACAAGTACCCTGAGGACACATGCATTCACCTTATTGAACAAATACTTAAGATTGAATGGTGGGTCATAAAGTAGATAGGGTGATAAGGTTAACTTTTTTCTTTTTTTTTTTTTCCAAAAGTTTTAGCCATATTGAGAGTGTACTCCCCAGAGAGAGACAGAGACAGTGAAAGGGAAGGTGAGAAATCACTCCCCAGTGGGGATGGCCATGCTGCAATCCCTTCTCCTCCATTCTCCTCTTGGGATCTTGGACAAACACACACATGCCCAACGTGATTTTCCAATTTTAGTATATGTGCTGCCGAAGCGAGCACACACCCGGCACGATTTTCAAGCTACCAGACCCAGGGCTCGAAAAGCAGTTGGCCACCTGGGAGGTCAGCAACATAACCTCTATTCCATCTGCTGGCCCCAAGGTTAACTTTCTAAGAAACTGTCTAACTGTCTCCCAATGTTTCTGCATCTTCATTTCCACCACAGTGTAAGAGAGTTCCAATTGTTTCACATCCCATCAATGCTCCAAATAACCAGTCCTAAATTTTAGCCATTCTAATAGTTGTGTCGTTTTAATTTGTATTTTCCCACTGATTTATGATGCTGAGGGTCTTTTATGTGCTTATTTTTTAATCTATACTTCTTTATCAGTGAAGTGTCTCTTTAAATCATTTCCCCATGTCTTAAAATTGGGTTGTTAGCTTTTGTATTACTGAGTTTAAGAGTTCCTTAAGTATTCTGGAAAAAAAACATTATTTATCAGATGTATGGTTTGAATTTTTTTTTCCCAGTCTGTGGGTCTTGTTTTCATTCTCTTAACAATGTCTTTTAAAGAGCACAAGTTTTTAATTTAGATGAAGCTCATCTCATTTTTTTTTAAATGGACCATGCCTTTGGTATCATGCCCAATTCTTTGCCTAGCCCAATATTTTCTTCTGCAAGTTTCATAGTTTTAGGTTTGAAATGATCCATTTTGAGTTAATAATTGTATATGGATAAAAGTTTATCTTTTTTCCTGTGAATATCTAATGCTGTTAGCACCATCGTTGAAAGACTACCTTTTCTTCACTGATTTATATTGTACCTTTGTAAGAAAGAAAAGATTGCCGTGCGTGTATGTGCAGATCGATTCCTGGCCTCTCAGTTTGGTTCTGTTGATGAACTTGTCTACCTTACTGCCAACACCACACTCTCCTGATTATTGTAGCTTTACAAGTCTTAAAACTAGGTAGCATTAGTTCTTCAATGCTGTTACTCTTTTTAAAAATTGTTTTGGCTACTTTAGTTCTTTTGCATTACCATATGAATTTTAAAATCAGTTTATCAAACTTTTATAAAATAGCCTACTGGAATTTTGATTGCACCAACAACTTAACAATACTATGAACACAATACCATCAGCCCTCCATATCTCTGAGTTCTCAATCTGTGGATTCAACTGACTGCACATCAAAACTTCAAAAGAACTGAAAAGTCCCCAAAAGCAAGACTTTTATTTTCTATGTAACAAGTACTATGATGAATCTACATAAATAGTGTGCAGACGTTTATTAGGCATTCGAAGTAATCTGGAGGTGATTCAAAGTAGACAGCAGACTGTGTGTAGGTTTCAGGCAAACACTGCACTACTTTGTACAAGCAACTTGAGCATCTATAGATTCCATTATGTGCAGGGGACATTAGGGCTAGTCCTGCACAGAAATCTCACAGCCACTGTTATCTCTCCACCTATTTAGGTCTTATTTACTTAGGAATATTTTATAATTTTCAGTGTACAGGTCTTGCACATCTTTTTACAGATTTACACCCCAAGCATAACATATTTTGATGTTATTATTCTAATGGTAATTTAAATTTTCAAGCTTATAATTATTTGTTTGTAGTATATAGTCATATAATTGAGTTTTTGCATATTGCTCTTGTACCCTGCAACACTGCTAAACTTATTAATTCTAGCTCCTTTTTTTAATAAAAAGATTCTACTGGATTTTCTATGTAGATAATCATTTTACTTTCTATTATTCCAAATTAGACGACTTACTTCTTTTCCTGCCTTCTTACACTGTCTAGAATCTCTATGACAATGCAAATAGAAGTAGTCTAAATGGACATCCCTGCCATGATCACAGCGGAAAACACTCAGTGTTTCTCATTCAGTATCCAGTTAGCTACAGATTGTTCAGAGATGTCAGTTTGTTCAGTTAGCTTACATTTTTAAAATAAATAACAGACAATAGAGTTTATCAAATACCTTTTCTTCACCTTTTGAAACAATTGCACATTTTTTCTTTTTTAATTTGTTAATATGGTGAGTTTTATCAGTTGATTTTCAAAAGTTACACCGACTTTTTAATGTTTTATGTTTTTGATTTTTAATTGTCTTGTCTTGAGATAACTCTAGATTTACATGCAGTTGTAAGAAATAATACAGGAAGGTTCTGCATACTGTTTATCCCATTTCTCCCTAACAGCAACATTTTGCAAAGCTGCAGTACATCCTGACATAACCAGGATATCTCCCATATGAACTCCCTCCTGAACCACTGGCATCTACTATTTTGTTCTTCATCTCTACAATTGCATCATTCAAAAATCTTTTATAAGTGGAATCATCTAGTATGTGATCTTTGGGGATTATTTTTTCACTCAGCATAATTCTCTGAAGATTTATCCAGGTTGATGCATATAACAATATTTCACTATTTATTGCTGAGTAGTATTTCATGCTCTGTATGTAGCATAGTTTGTTTAATCATTCACTTATTGAAAGAATCTGGGTTGTTTCTAGTTTTCTCATTATACATAAAGCTGCTGCAAACATTTGTGTGTAAGTTCTGTATGAGCATAAATCCTCATTTCCCCATAATAAATGCCCAGTAGTACGATTATTGGGTTAAATGGTAGGTATGTGTTTAATTTTCATATATATATATGAAAAACTTCAAAATTATTTATTTTCCGGAGTGGTGGTTCTGTTTTACATTCCCTCCTGCATTGTATTAGTGGTCCAGTTTCTCTGCATCCTTGCCAACATTCGGCACTAATAATAACCTTTATTTGAGTCATTCTGATAAATAAGTAATGATACCTTGAAGTTTTAATCTGAAAATTTGATAATGATAGTGACTATCTTTTCATATGATTATTGACATTGATATATCCTTTTTGGTGAAAATGTCTCTTCATGTATTTTTTCCAGTTCCTAATTTGTTTGATTTTTCTTTTTCCCCTCTTGAGCTTTGAGAGATCTTTACATATTCTTTTTTTTTTTTTTTGGCTTCTAGATATTAATTTTAATTATTCTGAAATAACATAATTTAGTACCAAATGTTTAACAACCACCCATTATAACTGCTAACTGTGAAATCAGCATTACTTGTAGCTGACTGGCTATTAAAAAAAAAAAAAAAAAAAAAAAAAAAAAAAACTATTTGACAAAAGAGTAGAAATCCCAAAGAATAAGGGAGTGATTATGAATTAAAGGAGTTATTTACTAATCTAGCACCATAATTCCAGTCTCAGAACTGCCCAAGTAGCTGGAAAGAGAATAGAAAGAGGTGAAGACGTTGGAAGCAGAAGGATAGTTCTTAACTGTGGCCCCATTTTTGCTTGGGGGCAATACAGGGTCTAGCAAAGAAGGAAGTCGTTGAGACTGGAGGTGAAAACAAAAGCTTTTGGTTTGAATGGTAAAGAAGGCCCTCAAGAGTAGTAGATTCAGTGTATCCAGAAGGCAGTGCTGGAGTTGGCCTCATGAACTAGGGGGTTTCTTCTTGGCATCCAAGTCCTTCTTAATTTCTTCAAGCTTTTTAGTCAGGTTTGGTATGTCATAGTTCTGAGCCAGATACATTCCCACCACGTTGCCCAAAGTAAATCCAAGCAGGAACTGAAACAGGATGTCTGCGAGAAGGGCGGGAAGGCTGGCCACAGCTCTGTGGGCCAGTGGGAGCCCGATCTTTAGGTATTCTAAACACTAGCCTTTTGTCAGATTAGCAATTTGCACATTTTTGTACAGTCCTGTGGCCTATCTTTTCATCCTTTTAAGTGTCTCTCTGGGGCCAGAAGGTGGCATGGTGGTTAAGGTGCTGGACTCCTACATGGCCAACCACAGACTGAGTTCCAAACCTGGTGGCTTAAAAATAATGCTAGGTGCACATGCGTGTGCCCAAAATCCTGAGAGGAAAATGGAGAAGGGATTATGGTGTGGTCATCCCCCCCGCCAATGGAGCTATTTCTCACTTTCCCTCTCTCTGTTTCTGTCTCTCTCCAGCAAGCATATGCACCCTATGGGGTAAAAAAATCTTTTAAAAAGACAAGTAAATTATTTTTAATTAAAATAAAAATCACACCGGATGTGTGTGCTAGCATGCCCAAAATTTCAGGGGGAAAATAGAAAAGAAGGGATTGCAGTGTGGCCATCCACCTAGGGGTGATTTCTTACTTTCCCTCTCTCTGTCTCTGTCTCTGTCTCCAGCAAGTGCCAAGTTTTCAATTTTGATGAAGTCCAGTGTATAAATTTTACTTCTTAGATACTACGCTTTTAGTGTCAAGTATAAGAATTATTTCCTTAATGCTGCATTCTGGAATTTTTCTATTTTTCTAAAATTTGATACTTTGACATTTTTCATTTAGTCCCACAATCCATTTTGAATTAATTTTGCATAAGTTGTGACTTAGGCCAAGATTTATTTTACTTTGTTTTATTTTTGCTTATAGATGTCCAACTATGCCATTTGTTGAAAAGGAGATCTTTCCTCCATTGAGTTGCTTTTACACCACTGTGAAAAAATACCTTTTTGTTTCTGCTCTGTCTTGTTCCTCTTCTTCTGTGACCTTAGTAATATGTCAGATTTTTTATTATAGTACCATAGGCTCTTTTTCTTTTCTTTTCTTTCTCCATGGCCTATTTTACCTCTATCATTCAAATTGGGTGATTTCTATTGTTTTATCTTTCAGTTCACTGATTCCTTCTTATTTTTTTCTCCATTCTTCTCTTGAGCTCATCTACTGGCATTTAATTTGGTTATGCTAGTTTTCAGTTCTAAAATTTCCATTTGGGTCTTCTTTTTTTATTACTTAGTTTTTATTTCATAATCATAAACTTAACTTCACAATTCAGCTAGATTTGGAAGGGAATAAGGAAAATATGGAAGCCAAAGAACTGCAGCAAGAAGCACAAGTTACAGGACACAGCGAGCAGATGGGGTGGAGGGTGCTCTCCTGAGCCACAGAGGGAATGGTCTGGTTAAGAGAGAACAAGTCAAATTAATCAGAGTTGTCCACAGTCATCAATGGTGGCCTTCTTGCTGGTCTTGCCATTCTTGGACCCAAAGTGCTCCATGGCTTCCATGATATGCATGCCCCCTTTCACCTTGCCAAAGGCCACATGTTTGCCATCCAACCAATCTTGGTAGTGCAGATGAAAACCTGAGAACCGTTTGTGTTGGGTCCAGCATTTGCTGTGGACAAGATGCCAGGACCTGCATATTTCAGGATGAAGTTTTCATCATCGAATTTCTCACCACAGATGGACTGGCCACCAATACCATTATGCCGTGTGAAGTGGCCACCCTGGCACATAAACCCTGGAATAATTCTGTGAAAGCAGGAACCCTTATAACCAAATCCTTTCTCTCCAGTGCTCAAAACATGAAAGTTTTCGGTTGTCTTTGGAACTTTGTCTGCAAACAGCTGGAAGGAGACATGGCCCAAGGGCTCACCATCAACAGCAATGTCGAAAAACATGGTGCGGTTGACCATGGTTGAGGGCAAGAGACTCAGGCGGCGGTGTCTGCAAAGCGACCTTCTTTATATCTTCTATTTATTGAATGAGCTTTTGGATTCAACATTTTTGCTGAGGCTTTTTATTTTTTCATTTGCTTCAAGCGTGTTTTTAATGACCTCTTTAGACATTTTTATCATGGCTGCTTTAAGTACTTTGTTCCATAACTCAAATATCCCTGTCACCTCAGTATTGGCATTTTTTATTGTCTCTTTTATTCCATTGAGATCTTTGTAGTTCTTAGTATAATTAGTCATTTTTTTTTTTATTGAGAACTGGATATTTTTGTATTATGAGACTCTGGTTCTCATTTAAACCTTCTGTTTTAGTTGGCTTTCTTTAATAATGCTCTGACTGGAGTAAGGGAGATGCCACCTTGTTATTGCCAGGTGGAGGTAGAAATCTGCTTTCCCCGCTATGGCCTCCATTGATACCCAAGCAGAGAGAGGCTTCTGTTACTTCCTAGAAGATGATGGCATTTCCAGCTGCCAATGTGGTCTCCTGTTACCACACTGGAGGTACCTTCCTTACTGTTGAGTCATGGTAGAAGTCCTAATTTCTCACTAGGCCTCATCTGACACCACCCCTGTGGAGAGGGGAGGTATACTTCATCACCGCTGGGTGTAGGTAGAAGTTCAGGCTTTTGGTGGTCTCCATTGGGCTGGAGATGGTCATGACTCATTAACTGGTAAAGATAAAAATCTCGGCTCTCTTTTTGGCATTCTGTGACATTACTCTCATTAGGATGAAAATCCAGGCTACTCCATTAGATCTTTGCTTGCATGGATGGAAGTGGGGCCATAGGTTTTGTTTGGTTGGTTTGTTTTGGTTTTAATTTACATTTAATCATATGTCTTTACAGTGTGCAACATTTATTTTCCAGTGCAAATGCCATGCATGTCAGTCAAGACAAAGATGTTACTCTATACCTTATCATCAGCAAATAGCTTCTCATTTTTTTTTTGTCAGTTAAGCGTACTTTTATTTGTTTTGTTTTTCTTCCTCTTTCCCCTCTCTCCCTTCCATACCAAACCTCTTATTGAGTCACAAAATATCTTAAACTAAAAATATGGACAAAGCTAGAATCTAGTGACAACTGCACTGTAATTCTCTTTTGAAACTTTTTTTTTCTCTCCATTCACCATTTTACTAAAGAGAAGTATAAACTAACTTATCTTCAAAAAGTTAGGTTAATCTCAATTTGGTCTGTTATTTGCACAAAGCCCCATAAGAATTCAATGTCTGTGTAAGGCAACAGATACTATTATTGTATTACTGAATTTATGCAAATAGCCATTCTGTCACAAAATAAGAATGCCCACAAATTTTTCTAATTGCAAAGGGGTCAGGAAGGGAATAAAATTTATGTTTCAATGTTAAAAAATTAACAAATTATTGAACTTATCAATAACTCACAAGAGAACCAAAATCCTTAAATCTGAAAGACAAAGCATAGAAGAAAATCAGTAATGGTTTAGACAAAAGTCATAGAATTCTATTTCACCAGTTCAGTCTCATGTAATCTCTCTTTTGTTGAATTTGCAGTGATACTGTGGTCTGATCTTTCTGTTTAAATCCTGGAAGTTAACATTCAATATTATTATTGATAGTTCCGAATTAGTCCCTACTATTAAGTTGACCTTTTTCTTGGTCATTTTTGTTCTATTTCTGTCTTTAGTTTTCTTGGTATAGCACTCCCTTCAGAACTTCTTGGAAAGCTGTCCTACTGTTGGTAAATTCTTTCAGGTTTTGTTTATCTGAGAATGTTTTTATCTTTTCTTCCCATATGAAAGATAATCTTGCTGGGTATAGTATTCTTGGTTGAAATTGTTTTTCGCTTAAACTTTGAATATATATTTCCCATTTTTTCCTTGCTTGCATTGTTTCTGACAAGAGGTCGGTGCAATGTTAGCCTGATGGGATATCCTTTGAAAGTAACTTGACATTTCTCTCTTGACAATTTTAATATCTGTCTCTGTCTTTGGTTTTGGTCAATCTGGCTATGATGTGCCTTGGAGAAGATCTTCTTGGATTAATTCTATGTGGGGTCGTTTGTATTTCTTGGGTCTAGATATTCAAATGCATCTCTAAGTTTGGAAAGTTTTCTTCCAGAATTTCATGGAATAGATTATCAATGCCCTAATTAGTTTCTTCACCTTCTGGGATACTGATTATCTGGATATCTGGGGGTTTAATAGTATCTAGTATTACTCATATATTATTCCCATTTTTGGTGAATTTTTCTAGATCAAAGGCTCTGTCTTCTACATCTGAGATTCAATCTTCTGCATGATCTAATCTGTTTTTAATACTTTCAAGGGAGGTTTTGATTTCCTGTATTACAACCTTCATCTCTAACAGCTGCATTTTATTCTTTTTTATGATTCTTTCAGATCATGCAAGAACTTCCTCACTTCCTGGAACTCATTGTCTCTTTTCTCTTGCATTTTCTGGAGTTCATTGTCTCTCTTCTCTTGCATCTCTGTTAGCTTTGTCACTATGAATATTTTAAATTCTTTATCTGACATTTCCACGAGTTCCATTGTAAATCTGTCTGTGGAAGATGAAGAGCTTTTCTTTCCACTTGAGGGAGAGAGATTTTCTTGGTTTCCCATATTTATTGTGCCTCTATGGTGATTTCTGATGGATTATACATTACTCCCTACTTTCTGAGTGTTAGAGACATGCGAGAGGAGATGACCAGCAATATTTCTGCAGTTCTGTTTCCCTGATCCTCACCAAGCAACCTGTGATTTTTTTCAATGGAACTGGATATTACAAAGACCTCACAGTTTCTAGGGAATAGGTGTACCAGGGCTGAGCTGTGGGGTTTCAACTAAGAATTCAGAGGTATGTGGGAGTAGATGAGCCACACTCTCTGAAGCTCCATGTTTCTTCCTGCTGCTCACTTTGCAGTATCTCTTCTCTGACTTTTAGTCATTTGGTGGCATATTTACATTTGGCTAATTTGTTGGAAATTTCTGCTACTGCAAGATCACATGCTTCACTTAACTGTGAGATATTTCTACGCCTATTTTGCCTCTACTTCTGTTTTGCAACATGATA